GGCGGCGGCGCGGTCTCGCCGGCGCAGCGGGTGAGGCCATCCGGGGCAGCGTCAGACGTCGTGGGGGGCGGGTGCCAGCGGTCTGTCGGGCGTGTCCCCCTACAGGGGGATTTTCGGCGAAGGATGAAGGATGCCCCAGAGATGCCCCCCAAAGAGGCCAAGAGATGCTCAAAAAACAGTCCGCAGGCAATTTTTGGGCTATTTTTTATTATTTTTGGGGTATTTCTTATTTTTCGTCGAAAATCCCCCTGTAGGGGGACATGCCCGACTTGATGCCAGCGGGGCCAGGACCTTCCAGGCCTCCCGGATGGGGCAGCTGGGGTCGGAGGATCGCGCCGCGTCGGCGATGCATCGGCGATGCGGCTCGATGCAGAGCCCGATCTTCTCCACGCCGACCGCCGATGCCTTACCGACCTCGCCGATGCATCGCCGACGCATCGGCGATGTATCGCCGATGCATCGCCCATGCGGCGCGATCCTCCGACCCAATCTACTCGGAGCTCATCTAGGAGGCCTCATAAGGACGAGGACAACTCCTTTCCAGGGCGTGCCGGAACGCTCTCAGATCTTTCGGGAAGGCTCCGAGAAGGCCGCGGCGCCCGAGAAGTCCTCCAGATCTGCCGGATCTCAGAGATTCTCGATTTATCCCCGATTTTATCCTCGTCCTGGGTTCGTATTAGGGTTTGAGGCTGGGAGGTTTTCGGGCGTTTTCGTCGGTTCTCGGCGGTTCTCCAGCCTAGGGGTGCCTTCCAGCAGCTGCGCCTCGCCGATGGCGTTCTTGGCGTGTTCGAATCGTCCCGAACGGCCGCTGGGGAGCCGAGGTATGGCCCGAAAACCATCTGGGACGGGGATGGGCTTACAGGGGCGGGGTGAATGGACCCCCGATCGCCCACGTATCGCCGATGGGGGCTCGATGGCCCACCCCGCCCGGGAACGCGCGGAGTCGCCATCGGGGGCCCATCGCCAGTCCATCTGCTCTGCATCGCTGCTTCAGGGCTCGGTGTTCCCCCCCCCTCTGAACTGGCCCCCCTCATAATAATAATAGGAGGAGGAGGAGGAGGAGGAGGAGGAGGAGGAGAAGGAGGAGGAGGAGGAGGAGGAGGAGGAGGAGGAGGAGGAGGAGGAGGAGGAGGAGGAGGAGGAGGAGGAGGAGGAGGAGGAGGAGGAGGAGTGCCCCCCCCCAGGCCAGGAGAGACGCCAGCCTCGGCGGGGCGCAGAGGGGGGCCGGGGCAGGGCGAGGCCCCGATCGATGCGGGCGCTGCACTTGCTGGTCGTACGGGGCGCGCCCGCCCGGCCTGCTTTGGGCCCCGGGGCCGCAGCAGGTCGATGCGGCTCGACAGGTGCCGCAGGCAGGTGGGGCCCAGGGCTCCAGCCGCGATGTTTCGCACTGGGCGCGCTCGTCCGGTCTTCTCCGTGCTGGGCCCACTTGTTCTTCCTACCGGGCGCGCTCGTCCGGTCTTCTTGGGCCCCGGGGCCACAGCAGATCGATGCGGCTCGACGGATGCCGCGGGCAGGTGGGGTGCAGGGCTCCAGCCGTGGTTTTCCGCGCTGCTGCGCTGCTTTCGCAGGGGCGGCCAGCAGAGAAGGAGAAGTCACCGATGCTGCTGCCCTCGCCCCGTTTCCGCCGTTCTGGCGCTCTGGGTGTGCCCTCGGGTCCCAATCCCCAGCAGGAGTTCAAAACGATGTGCTGCAGCAGGAAGCGCGGAGTCACCGTGGCCTCGACCTCCAGCGGGCTCGAGCAAGAGGGCGCTGCGTGAGCGCCAGGCGTCGGCGCGACGGCCCTCCCAGCTCGGAGGCCCTTGCCGCCACGGCTGTGTTCGCCCCGAACTGCCGGTCAGAACGTGCCTTCGGAGGTCCGTGGAGTGGCGGCAGCAGCACCCTGTTGGTGCCCACGGCAGCGCGATGGAGGGGCGTCCCCCGCCACCTCCCCAGGCAAGAGAGCCCCCGAGGGCCCCCCGAGGAGGGCACGCGCCCTCCCGAGGGAGCGCGCCGGGCCGTCTCGGGAGGTCGCTCCCTGGGCGCCCTGCCATGCCTTCCTGTGTGCGCCACCAGCAGCCACGGGTCGCAGCCGAGGGACCGGCGCCGGCTGCGCCGGCGCCGGCGCCGCCAGAACGCCCGGCAGCGCCGTCGCCAGCGGCAGGCGCAGTGTCGGCCCCGCGGGGGCCGCGCCGAGGAATCGATGACTCGCGCCGGCGCGGGCGTGCCGGGCGAGCTCCTTGGGGCGTCCTTCGCCAGGGTGCAGGCTGACCCTTCGCGCTGGCGCTAGAGAAAGCCTCCTCGTCCTCCCCCCCCCCCGAGTGGAGTCAGCGCCAGAGGTTCGCCGCCGCTCGCCCTGGCCTGGCCTTGGCTTGCGGTCAGCAAGGGGGGGGGGGCGGGCAGACAGGGGGATGGTTGCGGCAGGCTTGCGCCGCGTTGGCGCGGCGGCGACTCCAGCGCGGGCGTTCAAGGTTGAACGCCGCAAGGCGCCCAGAAAAGGCCCCCCCGAGGGAAGCGGCCGACT